ATCCCACTTATCAATCGCATCATCATTCGTCCAATAACATTAGATATGGGAGACAATCGCAATCGGTTATTACGCAGCAAAGTCAAGAGTGTCTTAAAGCAACAACGACGAGCGCTGCTAAAACTCAAGATAAACGTCCACAAAATGTATATTCGACTGTGAAGCCATCGTCCTATCATCAATTGTCAAACGAGGAAGATAATAATTCCTCTCAGACCAACATCGTGACGACAGTTATTGTAAATAACAGTAATCGAGAGTCTCGCATCGATAATGAGGACGACGAAGGTGGTACTACTGCCATTAAGAAGAGCGCGAATAATAACGCCAAAGTGTCGCCGGTTAATGTCAAAATAGAACACAATATCGTTTCGACCGTCAACGAAGCTTGCAACGGTACGGAGAAAAGTGATCTGCCATGTGTAAATATTAATAGCAGCATCGAGGTTAAGCAAAATGGCGAAAGCGAGAAGGAATATAAAAATGAAACTGTTTCTAGTATTAAGACAACCGTTGTTAAGACATTGTCGACGTCTACATCGAAGTCAGGCGAAAACGAAGTACAAATTGAAGAAAATGACCTCTCATCGAAAGGAGCCTCTGTAACGGATGAGCCTCTTGTAAAACCTAATAATACTCTAATACCTGCTGTTGTCTCTACCGTTGCAAGTTCCTCCTTGGCTTCTATTACGCCGAATATGTCTTGGGCGAATGTTTTAAAGAAAGGCAGTTCAGAATTACAAAGTAATAATAGTTCGGGTTACAAGCCAATGGCACGAATTAATCCATTACCAGTTACGCCGGTGAACGAACAACAGAGTGGCGCAACGACGAAAACGCTGCCATTGCAGCAAACGATCGTACAAAGGGAACAACGTATTGCAGGTCCATCGCTCGAAACCGAAAGTCTTCCTTCTAGTGCGCACAATATGTCGAGCGATTCTACGAAACATCAAACAGAATTGACGATCCTAAACAAATACGACGATCCTACTGTTTTTAGAATGGGCGGTAAGTAGTTTCATTACAATTAATATGCCGTATATTCTTCCAATCGAATTGCACTTATTTTTCTCTCCCTTTGTTTTCTTTCCTTTCTGACAGAATTCTTATTAAACTATCAGATGGACAAGCAAACGGTAAGCTTGTTACCGCGTGGCTTAACGAATCGTAACAATTATTGTTACATCAATAGCATATTACAAGCTTTACTTGCGTGTCCACCCTTTTACAATCTTCTTATGGCCTTGCCAACGACCCATTCCAAAGGCAATTGCAAATATTCATCCACCCCCCTCATAGATAACATGTACGTATATAAAATGTGACTTTCCATTTCAAATTTCTATGATCACATTTTTTACATTCACCATCACCATTTTCTAGGATAAAATTTGTTCACGAATTTACGCCTCTGTCGGATAGCGCAAGATCAGCTAGAAAAGATAGAGTACACAAAAGAGGAGACAATTCTATTGTAGATATACAAAGTGGTATGGCATTTGAACCGTCTTACGTGTACACTATGCTGAAAAATACTTCTGCTGCCGGAGTATTTTCCGTAGAAGGGCGACAAGAAGATGCGGAAGAATTTCTCTCGTGCCTTCTAAATGGTATCAACGATGAAATGTTGGAGGTATGCATCGCTACAACAGTTGTGTGTGTGTGTGTGTGTGTGCGTTGCGACAGCAATTACTTTAACGTGGAACACCGTTCGTTTCAGCTTATTAAATTAGTAAATAATGAACCAAACCCAGCTGCTGCAGCCAATGCAGCAGAGACTAACATTAATTACAATCATGCGGAAGAAGAGTGGAAAGTGAGAAATCATTTTTTAGATTGTCATTAAATCAAGACCATGTTATATAATACGCGTACAAATTATTCCAGGTAATGGGACCAAAGAACAAGGGATCCATCACACGATGTACCGAATTTGGTCGAACACCCTTGTCTGATATTTTTCGCGGCCAATTAAGGTCTAGAGTATCTCGGATGGGAGAACAGCCGACCGACAATGTGCAACCTTTCTTCACGTTGCAATTGGATATCGAAGTAAAATAATTATCTATTACTAACTACCTATATTTTTCCTCTGTCAAACACCATTTACTTTATCTACATATATATATATTATTATTATTATTATTATTATATTAGAAGGCGGAGACTGTGACAAGGGCGCTCGAAATATTGGTTGGAAAAGATCAATTGGAAGGGATGACTTGTAGTAAAACGAAACAACAAATAGAAGCTTGGAAGCAAGTAACTTTGGAAGAATTACCGGTTATCCTTATATTACATTTAAAGTGGTTCGATTACAAGCTTAATGGATGTTCAAAGATATTTAAGAAGGTCGAATTCCCCATAGATTTAAAAGTGGATGCCAGTAAGTTTATCGACCTTTATTAAATAATAAATATTATATAATACGTACGTTAAAATCGTTAAATCTATCATTTGTATATTTCAGAATTTTTGTCACCAAATATATGGAAAAAATTGAATTCCAAACAAAAACAGTACAAATTATTTGCTGTTACTTACCACGTTGGGAAAGAAACAACAAAAGGCCATTACGTTACCGATGCCTTTCACGTAGGCTACGGAGGTTGGGTAAGATACGATGACAATTCGTTACAAGGTATTTCAGAGAATGACGTATTAAATCCAGCTCCTCCTAGCGTACCCTATTTACTATATTATAGAAGATGCGATACCATCGGGAATAATCAATCAAACGCAGGTAGAACCCGTTGAAATATCACTATCCATTTGTATAGATAAAAGTCCTAAACAAATATAGTGTGTATCACTTTTTACGATTTCACGTTTATTGTTGATATTTATATCCGAGTAAGCAGAACGTTTGTTATAAAGTATGGTAAAATTGAATTACTATTTCCTTTTATCTTACTACACACTCATCAAATATTTATACTAAAAACTGTTACTAGTTTTACGCGTAGTTTTTTCTTGATACATAACTTGAAAGTAGCTAAGGTAAAACCAAGTGTTCATATTAGCACATTTTATTGGCGTTGGGTATTAGATGCTTATAGTTTATAAAAGAAAACATTAGATATAAGTTTCTTGTATATATGTTTCTTCTAAGATATCGTATATCGTATTATGTCAGCGCGCGTTTACACGGAAGAGTAATTTGTAACGTGAATTTTTATGATCACGTTACGTTTCCTTCTCTCTCCCTTCCCCCACCCCTCCTCCTCCTCCCTCTATTACTTCCCATTACGGGACGAAATTACGATTTAATTGCTTTTTTATGACGTTTACTCGTTTAAGAAGCACAGATATCTTTCTTCAGTTAGATTATGTTTAAAATATTAACATAACGTCATATATCTCACATTTTCAATCATTCTGGTCATCTCTTTATTAAAAGGCTTATTGTATAAGTTTTGTTTTACGTATTACGTATATGCGCGTTAATTAGTTATGTACAAATAATTTCTCTAAGTCTCCTGAATTCCCAATTTACTATCCAACTTTTGATATTCGTTACTCGTGTTTAAGATTTCTTAAGATTTCTTAGGAAGATAAGACTAAACATTACGATAAGTAAGAAATACATTTTTTTATCAGGCAAGCGTGAACATATTTTCCAATTTTGCCTTAAAATCTTTGGCACCGATTGCCTGTCATAATGAGAGAAAAAAAAAAGGAAAAAAAAGAAAAGGAAAAAAAAAAAAAAAAGAAAAAAAAATTAATGTAACATTCATCGATCCCATTAATGTTAATAAGCTCATGTATTTCGTTAAAAACAAATGTCCATAAATGTGTCATTTTTGCATATAAATACGTCACTTTTACATATTTGTAATAAGACCAGTCTGTTATTCAAGAATCATTATTTTAATGAACTCTTTCTTGAACGGTAAAGTTGTAGTATTTGCATTTTTACATTTTTCTCAACAAAGAAATATTTTTTGTCAATTTATATATCGAATTTAACAATTTAGTCATTATTGAAGTAAGGATTATTATGCGGTAATATTGTACTGAACCTCCATTATGAGATATATCTACCATAATATTGTAAATTAATCATATCGTTGAAAAATTTCTTTCAAACCGAGATCACATCTATTATATCATTTATATTTACTGACATATTTTACATTTTTGCACCGACAAAAGTCTGCAAATCTATGTTTGTTAACGATGGTAATATTATCAAACAAACAAATTAGCAAAAAAGATATATATATATATATAAACATACATACGTACACCAATCCACACACACACACACACACATATATATACGTGTATATATATATATATATATATATATATGCACACCCACACACACAAACTTTTATGAAAACCTGTGTACAATATAGTGTAAACTTTTATCTCTTGTAGAAATACAAGAAATTTGAGTAACATACAAATAAGAATATTATAGCTATGCAAAGTGGTAAAACTAGAAAATCTAATTATAAAATATCATATTTACATACATACATACATACATTATCTATAAAGTAAAATGTTTATAATGTAGATAAAATCTTGATATAAGTGAAATTTTGCAAGTGTATGTAACTTAAGCAGTAAAATACAATATATTTCTTTTCATCTTAGTATATATCTATTATAAATTGTAAATAAATATTTAGAGTTTATAAAAAAGAAAAATTAAAAAAAGGAAAAAAAAAAAGAAAAAAAAATAAATCTATGTACATACATTATCTATATAAGCTGTCACATGTGTATTAAGATACAATATATGCAAAATAGGAATATTTTACTTCGTCATATATTTCTATAGGAAATGGAAGATTCTGTTTAACGAGTAGCAACTATTTGAAAGTTAAAAGTGGCCCTCTGTTGAATTTAATATCAGCAGCATTGGACAGCAATTTTCAAATTGTTATAAGCACAGGTCGCTCTAATGATTTGGACAATACACAATGGACTTGACAAATAATCCTTTAGCGTAACTTGGATATTTTTTAACTTACTTTTACTCACTTACTTACTTACTTACTTACTTACTTACTTACTTTTTACATTACTATTATTTCTGCTTACTAATCGTTATTAAAGCAAAGTAAAGCAAATTAATAGGTTATGATAATGAGTTAACAAAGATGTTATTTCTTTAAGAAACTTTAACTCGGCTTAAAATAAAATCCTGCCGAACTTTGAAATGTAATCCCTTCCAAGATACATGATACTGAACATTAAAAAGAGAACAATACGAAGGCCATAATCATAAAATGTCACGGAGTAACGCTAAAAATGTGGTAAACATACTTTTCCTGCAAAAAGTTCAGAAATAACTGTGATCCATAGTGCCAGAACAAAGAGAATATAAGAGATCCCAACTTGATGCGAATTTGGTAATTGGTATGGTTGTCCACCAATTTCGTCAATGTAAAAACCCATTGGAAATAGAACAGCCGCTAAGCAAAATAGTACCACTGAAATATTATTAGCGTAACATTATTTTATGATGTAATAATACCTATTATATGCACTTTAAAAGGATTTCAAATAAATTATTAGTAAATATCTGATAAAGAATCATTCATTCCAGACAAATGGATAAGGGACTTGTCCAGATTATTCCTCATAACGGGGATATTAACGATCGCCCATATCGTTTATACGTTTTATTTATTTTAAACTACTCACTCGCCGTAAATCCGACCCATCGAGCGTAAGGAATTACATTGCGATCCCAATGCGAACTGATCAGCAATATTACAGTTGTCGTTATTAAAATACATCCGACTAATATAAATACAAGGGCCAGTAACCATTCTGGCTCCAAGTCGGGCGTATAACAAACTTGCGGCCTGTTGTATAAAGTCATACAAGACAGCATAAGGCCTAATCGTGTATCTCCTATAACGATTCCATAAAGGAATTAAGCTATATGTCTCAATCAAACGTATTCACTATTAAATCGTTGCAATTGTTGCATATATATATTTACCGCCAACGTCGGTTATAATCCAGTCAGGCATTCCCAGACTAACGATTGCAAACATATCGGCTGCCAAAAATAGAGCTCCCGAAATGATGGTTAGTTTATCCATTATTAATTTAAAAAACAATTGATCTTCTGGTTAATATGCGACGACATACAATCATTAAAAAAGCTTTACATATTTGATGAAAAGAAATACGATCATTGTATTATTAATTATCTAACGAGTCGAGTTTCTAAAGGATTTTACTAACCTCAAACTATCATTCGATATGTTATATAAGAAATTTATCTAATGACATTAACAGTTTTAAGTTTTTTTGACATTTTACTAAAATCGATATACATTATTGTCATATGCTTTCTTTCTCGTCCTTTTCAGAGCATATTTGTACTATGTAAAGTAACAACAAAATGCAATATCTGCGATGCACTGGTAGCAGTCGGGCGGGCGGGGATATTTTGAAAACGTAGGAATTCGGTCAGACATTTTAGAATTTTACCTTATCGACGAAGCTCGGTATAAGCCTCTCGCGCCATCTGCCGTTACCTTGCTTTATTACGATCAATTCCGTTCAATCTTCAAGTCAAAAATCGTTCTTTATAGATTGATCGATGTCTTACAGTTTTCAAATAATTAGAGCATTATTTAATTTATTCATATATTCATCAACATTTTACGATTGCCTGCGTGATATTTATAATAAAAAGTAAAAAAGCTTGGATCAAATTAATCATTTTTTATAACTATCTCAGGGAGACACGAGCGAAGAATCTAAGTGAAAAATATAAATACAAAATAACATGGCCGTATTATAAAGATACGTTATTAATTCTGAGAACGAGATAAGAAAAGAATTTCGTATCGAAAGAAAAGGAGCTCAATGTGGCGGAAGAAAATTCAGTATCGAAAGTACAATCCCGATGTCGTTGATCGGCTCAATGAATCGTATAATTCTCTTCTATTTAACATCCTCGATGCAATAAAATTCCGTGGTACGAGCCATTTCATGGACAGGCGAAAAACTAGTTTAAGAAAGTGAAATCTTTCGAATGGAGGGACGAATGAAACCACGATGAAAAGGTATTATCACTTTTTTTCCTCGAAAATCATGGCGCGTGTCTAAACGATACAACATATCTCTACGATAAATTCGTCTAAGACCGAGTTTTCATGAATTTTCGAAAGGTTCAAGAGAAAGTCGACGAGTGGGTGGAAAAAAAATAGAATTAGCTCGAGTTGGCTGATAGAGAAAATCGCTGATTCTAATGATTTCAATGTTTGCGAAAATCGTAAGATTCGATCTAGATCTCGAATTTCTAGGCATTTGACGAATGAAGAAAAGGTTAAGTGGTACGCGCGAACGTAGGGTTTTAATGAGGCGAATTAATGTGTGTGTGCGCGCATATATATATATATATATATGTGTGTGTGTGTGTATATAGACTAGCTTTCCCAGATGTCGAACGACTACAATGGGGTCGTACAATTTTACGAACCATCGCGAGTGTGTATTTCGGGAAAAAAATTGGTGAAACCGGTTACACCCGCTCGACCGAGTGCTCGAACATATGCGGAGGACTTGCACATAGGCGCGCACTAACACGAAAAACGCAGTGCACACGCCAGTACCGTGCGTCCGTTTCTAGCCGCATACAAAGCGCGTGCTACAACCACATCGACCGTATACATACATATGTACATTCGAATGCAGGGTTGCCGGTTTAGGATTTTCTTTCAGCCTTTTAAAGGCTGTTTTCTATATTAAAGATAAAGTTAATGGTCTCTCGAAAAAAAATTCTCGTGTTACGTTTAATATGTAATACGTTATCGACGAAATTGGCGTCGAGCCATTTACAGTGATATCCGTTAGGACAAAATTGTCCGAAATCATTTTTGGTTAATGAATAGGATCAATTTAACGAAGGATAATAAGGAATATGTCAGAGGTTTCGTTTCAATGACGAGATATCTCGCGAAAGAAGGAAAATGTCATCGGCGAAGTGCATACCGTTACGAAAGTAAACAGGACCGAGTGTCTCTTCGTATCTTGCTCCGATTTCCAACGTTCGCGCGCACCTCCTTTCGCGCCGAATAAAAGAATCGAACGTTGGACCAAACTTACGAATTATTTGTCTAAATCTTGTCCTCGGTGTGAAAATCTTTCGAATTCGTTGAGAACGGTATTATCTTCGAGAAGGAAAAGAAAATAAGTAAACGCGTTAAAAAAAGTTCAGATCGATCAGAGTAGGGGGTAAGAGAATTATTTGTACGTACCTGAGCGCGTCGCGGAACCGGCGCGGAGGCGGTTCGCCGGTCAGTCGTGCCGCGACCACGGAGCGGTGATATTGCGTGGTGTTTCATTTTTCACGCGATTCTTCACGAAGAAAAGATATTTACAGGGAGAGTTTTTCATCCTATAGCAAGCCACCGCAGGAAGACGTATGCGTTTGTTTTGACGTTTTGCGTAAAAGAAAGTGTGAGTGCGTGCGTGCGTGGGGGCGTGCGTGCGTACGTGCGTGCGTGCGTGCGTGTGTGCGTATGTGGGAGGGAGAGGGAGAGACGAATGTAAAAAAGAAGATCCGGGAAATTTATTCGCGTGGAATTGTACACCTCTCTCACGTACGTTACGTACGTACGTACGTGCGTACGTACGTCCGTCCGGCCATTCGGTAGTACATATAAACGGCAAATGAAAAGTGCGACGATCGTAAACAAAAGCATTGACTCCTATATAATACGGTAAAAGGCAGGAAAGAGAGAGAGAGAGAGAGAGAGAGAGAGAGAGAGAGAGAGAGAGAGAGAGAGAGAGCAAATACTCATGACACATATAAATACGTTAGATATTGTGTTGTATGAACGGATTTGGAGTAAAGAGGAAGGAAAAGGCAAGTCGATCGACAGCGAGTGAGCGAAAAGAAAGTAGAAGAGTCTGTACGACGCGTTTCGTCGTTGGACGGAACGGTCAGATCTGGATCTGGCGCGTTTTGCCGGTGCGCCACGCCGCGGGCTCTCTCGCTCTCGCTCTCGCTCTCTCTCTCTCTCTCTCTCTCTCTCTCTCTTTCTCTCCCTCTCCCCCTTTCTCTCTGCAAGTAACAGTACTTCCTCGCGCTCCATGGAGTAAGCCTCTCTCCGAAGAACGGGACCCAACGCTGCCGTGTCCGCTCACCATACACACTCCTCTCGTCGTGCCTCCCTCTCGGCTCCGTCTCGTCTCTCTCACGAGTCCCTTGTGTGGTGCCTCCCTCGCGCCTCCCTCGCGGTCGCAACGAAGCAGTCCGGCTGGTCGGGTCGAGAGGTTTCACGTAAAACCAGTCCTCTACCCTTTCCTTCCCCCCCCCCCTCCACCACCCTGTTTCTCCTTCGAACGGATCGCGAGTTACTCCCTCCTTTACCGACACGAGGAGGACCTTTCGTCAACTGGCACCTGCCGACCGACTCCTCGAACCTCGTCTTCCTTTCGATCGTCTTACAATAAGAACTTTTCTATTTCTTATCGATTTCTTCTCCGCTTAAAATTATACGAGATTCATGCGAGTATTGAACGACTTTTCAATGACTATCGAAACGTTCCTCGTTTATCCATAATCGTAAAGAAAAATACGTATATTTATCGAGTATCACGGATATAGAAGAGGGATAGATTTTATTTGATCGAGAAAAGAGAGTGCTCCCTTTGTTTTCAAGATCATCGTCATGAATGTAACGCGACTTTGTCATACGGCTTTACGCATTTCCAAACGAGAGTGAAAAAAAAGGATCGAAGGGATTGAGACTAAAGGGTTTGGTGGAGGTGGGGGGAGGAAAGCGCTTGGGACGCGTAAAAAATGAGCGAGAGACGAGTTTAGTAGAGCCGTTGTTAACAACAACGAGAACGGCACGAGTAGAGTGTAAAAAGGGGCGGGAGGGGGGTGCCCTGTGTATGCTCGTCCGTCGGCCGAGCGGAGAAGGCGGCATAAGCGTAAGCGAGTTTGCCAAGGAGAGAAAGGAGGGAAGTTTACGCGGCCACTTTTGCGGCCATAACTAACCTCCTCGAGTGGCTCACGAAGCTTTCTCATTGTCAGTCGGGGCTAGCGCAAAGTTCGAAGAAACGTGCGCGCGTTTCCCACCCACTTTTCAAATGACCGCGAAGAGAGATATGGATGTCCATTGCATCGGTGCGTGAAACTGATATTGTTTTCTTCCTTTCTCGAAAGGCAATCGATATTTGTGCGCTTCATCGAATATATACCGGACGCGACTGCTGCTCGTAGGTAACACGGGGCACGATCCTTTGTCATCGTTTGTTTTTTCATTCGTTCGTTAGAAAACTGTGCACGCGCCGATCCAGCCCCGTTAGATCGAGGAAAGTGATACTGCTCGCGAGTGAAACAGGAGGAGAGACGCCTTTCTGGCCTTTCTTTTTCTCTCTCCTTCTTTCTCGAAAAGTGATCGATCAGTGGCGGCCACATCAGCGGCGAAAAGACGTGAAGAAGAACCTTTTCAAGGACTACAAAGACTCCTATTTATCAGGGAGAGAGAGAGAGAGAGAGAGAGAGAGAGGAATAGTTTGACGAGCCATGAAGACCATAAGGGCAAGTAATTTCAGGTAAATATACCTTTCTCCGACTTTCTATTATTTTTTTCGTCAGAATCATCAGAATATTTCTTACAGAAATGTTTTCTTAAAGAAACTTACTCTGTCGGACGGTTTGCGTCTAGATGTAAATTAGATCGAGAGATTACAAATCGTGAAAGCAAACACGACGGCAGTACATTCGCAGAGCCGAGAGAATCGATAGGATATAAATTAACGAGGTCTCGGACATGGTAGAAGTTCCCTCTCTCGTTCTTTCTCTCGTCTATCGTCTGGAGCTAGTAGCATTTATTTATTTACCGCGTGGCGCGTCTAGACCCCAGGGAGACCGGAATGCGCGCGAATAAAGAAACAAAAGGGGTCGAATAGAAAATTAACGATTTCGCATTTAATTTTAGGAGAATAAAGGCTAAGGAAGAAAATGAAAAACGCGTCACATTCTTGTTCAAGTATCGTTGACAAATGTGAGAAATTCTTTCCGCGGGGAAACTGTTTAACCATCGACATTTGTCCGCGCCGACATTTTACTTCTTTTTCTTTTTCTCTCTTTTGCCGCAATAACAATCGACATTTATGCGAAAACAATAAATACTCGGGTCTGACTGACGGTGGCCGCTCATTTATGCAAACTTTTCGTGCTCCCGTTCGCAGTTCGCCGTCGCCAATGTCGACGAAACTTAATTAAGATCGTAAAACCCGACGATGGTCGGCTGATCCAATTTCCTGAAATTCCATTAAACGATAAAGTCCCTTTAGATTTGATCGATGATCGGAAAAGACTACAACGTTCTTCTCCGTTGTTCTAACCATTTCTTCTTTATCTCTTTTTATTATAAAGAAATAACTAGGCACGACCTTTTTTTTTTTTTAAATAAGAGCAATCGTACGAGAGCAATCGCAATGACGTACGGACGGTGCGCAGGTGGATAAGATAAGGTCGCGATGTCGGTCCCGCATGTAAATAAATGCCTACGTATTTGAGCTTCCTCTCGGCCCCAACCCCCTGCCCCTCGAAAATGACAACCCGCTGGCGAGAGAACGTGCCGGTGGAACGGTGTTGTGCCCGATGTCGCGCATACTCGCACGCGGAACACCTGCGGGACAAATTGAAATGCTAATTCGCCTGGCCCTTCCTTTTTCTTTGCCCTCGCATTCACCCCTTACTTCTTCTCTCCTTTTTCTTCTATTCGTTTTTTTTTCCTTTTTTCTTTTTCTTCTTTCTTTTTTTGTTTCTTTTTTTTTCTTTCTACCTCTCCGTTAGATCTCTAAAGGCAAAGCACCGTGTGGCGCCGCCTTAAATAACGCCGCCTTGAAATATCGCGTGCGATATTGGGTTCCACCAAAAGACAGAGAGCAAGAGAGAGAGAGAGAGAGAGAGAGAGAGAGAGAGAGAGAGAGAGAGAGAGAGAGATCACCTTTTAGAAACGTTTAATGACTGCGCGCGTTACGGTTTGCGACTTTGCATACGAAAGAGGGTCGTTATCCGAGCCTCCTTGAAAGTGTGCCTCTGCCAATAAAGGGAATAGAAAGTTACAAAAACTGCTATGGGGAGTCGAATAAAAATAACGTACTCGAAGTGGGTGTAAGAAAGGTGCGAATGCGAAGGAACCACGTTATAAATTTGAGGAAGGACATAGATATTCCTGGAAAATATTTAGCTAAATAATAAAAAGGAGAATGCCTTAATTAAGACGTAAAAACAAATGAGCAATAGTGCAACGGCACGACATTGTTCGAAAGTAAAGTGAGATTGCTCCTATATAAAAGTGGAGGAAGACCTGAGAAAGCAGTAGATTAAGAATCTCCTGAGAATCGTAGACTTTCTTAGTCTCTTCGTTAAAGCAAACTATCGAGCATATCGTTTTATTAATCATTTTATTTTCTATAATATCGAGTCAAAATAGTCGACCTCTTTCACGCGATTATGCGTTTCCCACGTAAGGCGGAGGAAATTGCGGAATAGAGTTTTCTCTGAGCCGGCAGTACTATCTCTCTCTCTCGCTCTCATTTATGGCGCCTTTCTATCTCCTCTTTTTACACTAACGAAGCGACCGAAACGCTCAATTAAGCGGTCGGCCCTAATTAACGCGCGGATCACTCGCTCATTGTAGAATCTGCTCCCCTGCCAACTTACGAAAGATCTGAGAAAGAGGAACTTTCTTTTTTTGCCTCCGCGAGAAAATTTCAAAAAGTGATGTGACGAGAGAAGGAGGACATTACGATCTCGTACGATGTTGCACGTGTTTTGCCAACCGACTTTGCAACACGATCGAGATACGAATGATGGAAAAAAGAACGATGTTAGCGAACGTAACATCGATAAACCTAAAGATTAACTCATTGTCGTGCATGAACGAACATGATTTTCTTTCTTTCTTCCTTTTCGTTTCTTTTATTCATGATTATTTTGGACAAAATAATGGTCTATAAGTAAAATATGTATATATATATATATATATATATATATATATATATAAAGGTAGAATCGAAATCGATATAATAGCTATTTCCATATGTGCTAAAGGATTCCTCTTGATGTCGATCATTCGAGGCGCGTACTCTACGTGATTTTCTTTCTTATTAACGGCTTCTCTTACAAAGGTGAGAGTGACTCATTGACCGTCGTTTGCGATCTGGACATGGCCGTAAACACAATCGTAGTACGTATCTGTACATTTACGTATCCGACTATAGAGCCCTAGCGCGAACAATTTTATCGCATAGACGCGGACGTACGTAGGTACATAAGTAATTACTTCCTCCTTCTCTTATCTCGCTAATACCACTCGCGAAAAACAATAAATATCGCAAAAGGAGGATAAACGATTCGAGGCTCGTTTATAACTGCCAACTGAATGATCGTTAAATTTGCTCCTTTCGTTCGACAGAAAAGAAATGTCAAAAATAACGCACGAGGTGGATCTAGAATAGTCGATTAGAATATTCAGACTGGATCGCGTTCGATCTTAATTGTCAGAATACGGAACGATATTGGAACTGTTGGTGAACGTTAAGGCATAAGCGATTTATTTAAACGCAGAAAAAGGCACGCCCTCGTTACCAATAAAATAGACGATTTTGACCGTATTCTCGGAGATTAGCTCGAGTTTGCCTTTGTTAGAGAGTTTTCCGATGAGACGAAGGGCGAGGTGGGACAGGACGGGCAGAGGAAGAGGAAGAGGAAGAGGCGGGTGGTATGGCTTTAGACAGGTGAAATGTCGGTGCATCGATCGATCGCCGACTCGAAAGCCGAGCCGAGAGTGACTGCCAAGCGCACTCCCGTAGTTTTCAGGCTTCGTTTACCGAACAATGCTCTTCGTTCTAACGGCTCCTTGGAATCCCCATTGTAAATACGTGTGTGTATAGATAAAAAAAAGAAGAAAAAAAAGAAAAAAATCAACGCTTTATGCCGATAAATGCCACTCCAGAGTCACGTCGTCCTACGAACGAGCTATTCCCGCTAAGTTGAAATTCGTTTCTTTACTCGTCCGTTTTACTTTTCCTTTTCTTTTCTCGTTTCTTGAATTTTTTTTCTTCTCATTTTTTACCTGGCAACGTTAACGACTCGTCCAACTCCTAAGACGCTACTAGGACGATTGCCACCGAGTAAGACGATATTCGACAAATGTCGAACGAAAGAATTGTATCAGATGTAAATTGTGTGCGGCAACTTTTACATCTGACGTTTTCACGAACAAAGGATAACGTTGTTACGTCGAATGAGTTTGTGAATTTAATCTGGGTCGAGCGTACTACCGGTGCTACCTCCGATCCCACCATCGGCTGTTCTCTCCCCCACTTGACGTCGCGTTCCTAACTGTAACTCAAGCTGATATCTAGCTTGAGGAATATTTATTTTTGAAAGAATTCCCTTTAGAAATATATCTTGAGGGATAATAAAAGAAGAAAGTAAAAGGCTAAAAAGAGCGCTGGAAAGACACCCCTTTACATCTGAAGGCGGACGACGTGTGCCCTTTGCTCCTATCCTGATCGCGAAAAAAGATTTTTGCGAAAGGATATTCATCTACAATTTAAATCGACGGATTCTCCCATATATAGGCGTATGTGTGTGTGTGTGTGTGTGTGTGTGTGTATGTGCCTTGGCACAACTTCTTCCACTACACTACTATTACTTCCTCTCCTCCATCCTGATCCTTCCTTCGTTCCTCCGCTCGTTGGCGTACTCTCGCGTTTCCCCGCCGATTTATGTTTATTCGTCACACGGGTTACGATCCTATGAAATCACGATCCCCTTGTAAATTTATATATGTATTCAAATGAGGAAGACTAAGGTAGCCTAACGCGTCCTTGTTGGATTCTTCAGGTATGCGATGTTCGCATACTTCCTCCCACTTCCCCCTCCCTCCTTTAAAGAGATATAGAAAAAGGAAGAAATAATTATTATATAGGTATTTTCGTGTGGGAGTAAACCTATTACTTATTTACTCGACGAGAATCGTCGAGACAAAAATATGTGTCAAATCATTCCTGCACCACTTTCTATTTTCTTTATCTGTATACTTTCGAACGACGTCCACCTTTAACTCTCAATATCACATACCTATTGTGCATAAGTTAAAATTCTTCTCAAATTAATGTATAAAATAAGTATTCCTCGAGGAGAGAGGGGTGGAGGGATGGGGTGGGGTGGGGTGTAGAGCTATAGTATTTAACTTGATTTATTCATTTTTGACTGCAAAGATGACCTTGCCATCGAGTGCTCTTGAACCAGATTCCGTGAAAGTAAAAGCATTGAAAAAGACGGAAATAGAATAAAGAAGAATGAATGAAACGAAAAAGAGGAAAGAAAAGTAAAAGAAAAGGAAGCTATGCAAGTCAGAAAGTTCGAGCATCGAAGGACGAGCCAGGAGCAGCAAGAAGGAAAGATAGTGAGCGGTAAGTTACGGTAATGGCGAACCATCGGTGAGTTATGTCAGGACGACGAGAGATGGAAGAAAGGACACTGCATACGTACCGAGTACTTACGTATATGTGCCTACGTATGTGCGCCT